TGTGTCCTTGTGCTTTGGATGCCCTGGTATATGTGTCCTTGTGCTTTAGATGCCCTGGTATATGTGTCCTTGTGCTTTGGATGCCCCTGGTATGTGCCTTTATGCACAAGGCCCTGAACTGGCTGCTCTCCTGATAGCCTTCCTGCCCTGCTCTCTGTTGGCCCTCCAGCTCAGTTATGCATTCAGCAAGGGCTTTTGTGAGGTTGCTCTGTACACAGCTTGTGTGGAGCTCTTCCACCTGAACTGGAAACCCTGGCACCACCATTGCTTCGCTGAGGGGTTGCCAGCTTTGACTGTGTCTGGTGCTGTCCTAGAAGGTTATCATTGATAAGATAATAACCAGCTTGTGTTCAAGCCAGACTCAAGTCTTTGGGGTAGGGCATATGGGAACCTCTAGAAAGTTCCTGATCCTTCTTTATTCTGTTTCCTTCCTGTAAAGTCAGACTAGTGACCGTCCCTAACACAAATACTGTTGCACAGGTCAGATTTGGGCATCATAAAAAATGTTGCAGCTTAGATAAAGTCCGGTATGCCTGGCTCACAGGGTGGAGAAAGTGTTTGTCCTGGTCACTGTTGCACTGCTGCAAAGATACACAAGGCAACGCTTCTAGGAGAAAGCGTTTAATTGGGGATTTGCTTACAGTTTCAGAGGTTTATGGTCAGTATCATCATAGTGGGGAACATGGCAGCACACAAGGGGCTAGAACAGTGGATGAGCGCTGCATCCTGGTCTGTAGGCACAAGATGGGCGGGGGGAGAGAAGGAGAGAGAGGCAGGGGTCTCTCAAAGCCCATGCCCAGTGGCCACACCTCCTATTTCTTCTCAAACAGTGCCAGTCCCTAGTGACCAAACATTCCGATACATGAGCCTAAGGGGGCCACTCTTATTCAGACTGCCACAGTGTCCCAAACAGAGGTTGCACCATAAACACAAGCCCTGGGGTGGAAGCTGCAGTGGCCGTTCAGAAGGCATCAAGACAGCAGGGCAGCTCCACGGAGAAAGGTGGGCAGGCCCAGTGGCACCCGTTTGTTTTGCTAGCAGGTTTCGAAATGTTCTGTAGGCAGCAGCAGTAATCGTGAAAGGTGTCAAGCTGGAGGGATATTTACGTTTTGACATGCTCTCTGCCGTTGCTGGCAAGTGTTAGAAGGGTCAATTTCAGAGGCAGGAAGATAGCCAGAAGCTGATTACAGCATCCAGGTGAAGGCTAGTGATGCCTAACCAGGACAAGCACAAGAATGCGGACAGGAGGGGGACATATGTTAGAGATGCTGAGAAAATGGAAACGACCAGACTTGGTTACCAATTAGGGTGGTTACATTCTCTGCAGGGAGAGAGGAGTCTCTCAATTGCTTGGATAGCTCAGTGCTGCAAAGTGCCATTCATTAAGACTGAAAACACAGAAGGAGGTCAAGGTAGGAAGGGTGTTGGGTTCTACTCTGGGCGTAGGAGGGGCCCCTAGCTGCCTCCAGCAAGGGAATGGGAGCTAATGATGTCGAGTACTTAGGAATGGGTGTACAGGGGCAGTGAGATAAGAGGAGGGGCAGGGTCCCCAGAGCAACCTCGACAAGTGATAAATAGGAGACTGAGAAGGACAGTTAAAGACTGTGAGGAGGGGAGAAAGGGGGCAGGGCTGAAGAACACCTTTGTCAGTGCAGTCACTGGGAATGGCAGTGTGTGTCAGGGGGTGGAATGAACGAGTACAGACAGTGAGCGTAGGTGGTTTTCCTTTGTGGATGGACCAGGAGCAA